ATTTTAATTGAACTGTGCATGCACACGCAGTGCGCATCCAACACGCGCACGAGTGAACCGGCAGTAAAGTCAGGCAGAACCCATCCCTGAAAATACTGTAAATGGTACATGTTTGCTGTGGAGAGTATTAATAATGAGAGCACAACAACACTTTTGTAACTTGCAAATAGTGAAAAAGTTTATTAAACTACTCAAGCTAAAGAAAGCACACTTTGAGGTGTACTTTAGAAACTTGCATAAAGATAAGTAGATAGAAATTAGAAAGATTTAAAGAAAAAACTTACTGCTTTTAAAAAAGGATTTCTAAATCTAGCTCTTGAAGAAGCTCTTTCTTGCTAGAAAGTGTTAGAAAGTTTATAAAGATGGAAAGTTATTTTTGTAATTTGCTGCTATTTATTTAGCTAGCTTCTCTTCAACTGATTGGACTTGGGAAGAAATCACTCTGCCATCCACCACTTCCTCTACGATTGTCTTAACCTTTCTGGTTTTTGTTAACTCTGAAATAAAATACAAACAGTGCAATGTTATTTATTTCTTCATCAAATTTATATGGCCACCAAAGGCAACAGGATATAAAAACAGAAAATATAAAAACATCACAAACAAATATAAAAGTCATAACAATAAATATCATAAAAACCAAAAATATAAACCATAGATGAAGAGAGAATAAAAAAGAATACATTCCTCAACAACGGAGCCCTGTACATAATCTCCTGGTCTGGTCACATAACCAGATCTGTGGGCCTTTTGGAATATCAAAAGAGATGAGGCCAAACCTCATAATTAGCTGGGAGAAGGATGTTCTATAAGGCAGGTGCCATGGCATGTAAGACACACGTCCTGAGACCCACCAAATGTAGATCATAGTCAATGGTACCCACAGCATGCCTTCTCTGTAAGATCTGAACAGTCACTCGTGCCCTTGTGACCTCTAGGCTGGAGTACTGCAATGTGCTCTACATGGGGCTGCCCTTGAAGAGTATTCGGCAACTTCAGCTGGTCCAGAATGCGACCGCGCGAGTGATCGTGGGTGCACCTCGTTTCACCCACGTAACACCTATCCCCCGCGAGTTGTATTGGCTGCCTGTTGATCTCCAGGTGCGCTTCAAGGTGCTACTTGTCACCTACAAAGCCCTTCATGGTACTGGACCTGGGTACTTGAGAGACCGCCTACTGCCAATTACCTCCACTAGACCGATAAGATCGCATAGATTAGGCCTCCTCCGAATTCCATCAGCCAGCCAGTGTAGACTGGCAACTACCCGGAGGAGAGCCTTCTCGGTGGCTGCCCCGACCCTCTGGAATGAACTCCCCGTGGAGATTCAGACCCTCACCACCCTCCAGACCTTCTGCGCCGCCCTTAAAATCTGGCTGTCCCAGCTGGCCTGGGGTTAAAGACTCTAACCCCACTCGAATTGTATGATTGTTGTGTTCTTAAATGATGTAGTGTCTTCATGTTGTAAATTGTTTGTCCTTCCCCCCCCCCCTTTGAACTGTGAGCCGCCCTGAGTCCCCCCAGGGAAAAGGGCGGCATACAAATAAACTGAAACTGAAACTGAAGGAGCTGGCTGCTGGAAGCAAGGAGAGGCAATCCTTCAAGCAACCAGTCCAATGTCATGAAGGGTTTTAAAAGTTAAAACCAGCACTTTGAATTGGATTTGGAAGCAAACTGGCCACAAATAGTAATATGGTTGCTCTAGATTCTGACATGCTTTTATTATTTTTCATGTTCATTTTACAGTCTATAGACATCGATCATTATCAGAGTTCTCCTAACAAGATGTGATAATTAGCAGATCCATTAAAGTGAATCAGATCTGGGTTGCCAATTTTTCTTGAGACTGTGGAGGAATCGGATAATAAGGTTGTCATAGTCGATATCAGTAGCTACTAGCCATAATTACTGGCTGGCTACCTCTAAGATCAGTCTCAATAATAAAAATTACTTCTCCATCACTTTTTTTCTCTCAGCGAGGTCTGTTAGTATAAACAAATCCACTGGGGAGAAAAATAGTTGTAGAAAATGCAATCAAGGATAGGTGTAACATATTTTTTAAAAGTCCATGTCTGGTTTGAATTGGAGCCTTCTGCTTTTGCTAGGTTCAAACATTAAGATATAAATATACTTTTATATTTTTGATTACTGTTATATGTGAATCTGGTCAATATATCCTGTTCCACAAAATATAGTTAAAAAGAAGCATGATACAATATTATGTGGTAACCCATCCAATATTTAATTCAACTCTAAGAAAATAAGTTTTGGTATTGCATTAATAATAAGGATTAGTACTTAAAGTATCTAAAACCAAACACATTAATATAGGCAAATCTGCAGCCTTTTCATAAGTTTCGAGTATATGGAACAGGTATTGTACTGTGTTTTTCAAGGTGAACAGGTCAGGAAAGAGGCATAATAAAATTAATGCTCTTTATTTTAGTAAGATACAATACCAGAGTTGAAAGCTAATTCATGTCCCTCTTTTCCCATCTTATACTAAACAAATTCAAGGTAGGATTGTGTACTCTATTTACTAATACCTCTTGGTGGCTCGTTCCGTCCTTTGGTATGTACACTAACTCTGTACACTATTCCTTTAAATGTAGCTTCAGTACTCATCAGAGAAGCTTCTATCATTTGGTAATGATTAGAAGCATAATTATAATATGTATGCGTTTGATAATTATTGTTTTTCAATGGGGTAGATTAAGGTAAAGGTAAAAGTTCCCTTTGTACATATGTGCTAGTTGTTCCTGATTCTAGGGGACAGTGCTCATCTCTGTTTCAAAGCCAAAGAGCTAGCACTGTCTGAAGACGTCTCCGTAGTCATGTGGCTGGCATGACTAAATGCCGAAGGTGCACGGAATGCTGTTACCTTCCCACCAATGGTGGTTCCTATTTTTCTAGTTGCAGTTTTACATGCTTTCGAACTGCTATGTTGGCAGTTATTAAAAAGCTGGAACAAGTAATGGGAGCTCATTCCGTTATGCGGTGCTAGGGATTCGAACTACTGAATTGCTGACCTTTCTGATCAACAAACTTAGCATCTTAGCCACTAAGCCACCGTGTCCCTTTGGGTCTTCTAAATTTGTAAGGCAGAGTGATATGGTCATGCCAGCCTAGGGGTTACCCCTGTATGCCCAGCTTCCTTGCAGCCATGGCCTCCAACACACCTAGCTTCAATTCCATCATCCACCCAGGGGCTATGCCTTGGGGGGAGGGCATATGGACATCTGTATGAGAGGCTCCATTCAAAGCATATCTGGTATAGGGAACATCAAGATGAAAGGGGAAATTGCAAAAATATTGCAAGGGCATAGGAGGGGCAGTGTACTGTTAATGTGAAAGAAAATAGCAGGGAGTGAGTACTACAAGCAAGACTTTATAGAAATATATGCATTACCTTTCACAGGAGGTGCTGAACTGTAGACGGCTTTCGAATAGCCTCTGGAAAAAAAAAGAATTTATTTTTTTTTGTAAATACTTGACTCTTTCTGAGCATCATTCATGGGATTTTCAAAGTATTGGGTTTTATAAAAAATATTGCTCCTCCTCTGTGTGGTCAGTTTCCAAATGTGGAAGTAATGGCACTTCTTCCAAGCTCATTCATTCCCACCAATTATCTTTTCTCCACCCATCTTGAATGGTCAAAAAAGCTATTTTATTAGCCATGACATTGACTGTCCCTATTGCTGATCCCTTTTCTGCCCTTATTGCATCTGTTTTAAATAATTGCAATTACCGCTTCTGCCTAAGATGACAAAGCCTAATAGATTTTCTATACCTTGAGGCTTTGGATGATGGAGGAACAGAGAAAATATTTCTTTAGCATTATACAGCTAAGATTAACAGTACAACTAAGCTTGCTCAGTTATGAGCTGGGAACAAGCTATGGGGACATAGCAGAATAATTAAATTATCAGGACACTTATGAGCTGAGGTTAGATGCAAGAGGAAAAAGGCTATCTGGAACTGCCTGATCACGGGAAGCCTAAGACCAGCCTTGGGAGAGACTCTTTTGAGATCAACCAGGAAAATGAGCTGGGTGGGAGGGAATTTTGATACGGTCAGCCGATCTATGCTTCCCCTCTCTGGAGAGAAGTATGAATTGGGTAGAGGTTAAAGTTATACACTGGAGCATTTGTTCCAACCATGTCTACAGCTCAGAACAAACAGCTAATCTTCTAAAGTGGTGAAGGGATGGATTTGTCATGAATGAAGGCATGTCCCAGGATAATGTTCCAGGATGCAATTTGGGCCGGTCACCAGGACCAGAAGTTTAATCTTCTGAGCTTTTGGATTTACGGTGGAGCCCATCCTCAGGGAACTTCTTTCTCACCAGAATGTGTTGATTTCTTTGTGTTTAAAATGTGCAAGTGCAGTTTTATAATGATGGGTGCATAACCCCTGGTAGGGTAGGATTTCTTGCATATGCCATGCTTGGCTTTTCAGCATATAGCTAATGATAGAATAACATTACTATGACCAAATTTTGAAAGTAATTATTATATCAGTACATTCAGTATATTTGAACAGAATAAATGATCTCCAAGTCCTATTTATTAAATGTTGCCATTTTATAGGACCAAAGAAACATACTTTTACTTCTATAATAGTCTGTTTGGTTTCTGCTTAAGGTTAATGTTTGTGTATGTTGTGAGTCTTGTGCTTTTTGTTGTGTTTTGTTTTAATTGTTGTCTTTGGTCTGAGCTGCCTTGTTTTAGATTTTAATTGTTTTAATTTAGTATTTTAAGTCCATTGGAATGAGTGGCTATATTAAATCTAATAAATCATCATCTACTTATTGTCCTCTTACTTTGGAAGGAGTTTTTCCTACAGAAAATAAAAGTGATTTACATATATAAATTGTCACATGGAACATACTACAGACTCAAAGCTTCAGAATTTGTTCTAAAATTAATCAGATGGTAGGGTGGTATTTATATATTGTGAGAGTGAATGTCATAATAAATTTGTTTTCCAGATACTACAACACATCTTACTCTATTCTAAGAATGTATTTTTTTTTCAATTACATATTTGCAAATTCCTTACCCCGCTTCTCCCTCCAATAAGCGGTGGTAGGTTTCAATCTCCTGTTCCAGACGTGTCTTTATTCCTAACAGTTGCTGATATTCGGCACTTTGGTTTTCCATATCTGACCGGATCTGCAGAAGTTGTTCTTCAAAATTACTGATCTGCATCTGTATTTGACCAAGCTGATCACAGTAACTTTGTTCTGTTTCTGCTAAAGTGCCTTCAAGGGATTGTTTCTGTTGAGAGACAGGCAGAGGAAAAATGAAGCATCAATTGCTGAAATAAACAATTGGAGGAAAATTCTGGACTGCAAGCCAATATTTAATATAATATTATGACTATATATTCTATATGGTAGGTGAGTGGTTGAAAGAATCATGCATGTTCTACTGCATTGTCAAGCTAATTTTTCTTTATTTACCGGTAACTCTAGATAGGACAAATTTTATATATATACAATACACACACACACACACACACACACACACACTTCTGGCTAATAAGAATGACTATTTTATATACTTTATATAATATCTCCAAATTTTGCTTGCTAGCTTTTTGAACAAAGTGGATGATGACTTCTGTAGCATGAACTTTAAGACTATCACTTACATTCATAATTAATTATAATATATTTTAATTAGTAGGCACATATATGCTGTAAGGACTCTAATTTGTTTTTGTCTGCTTATTTGTTTTTAAGTATGCTGGCCTCTGGCTGGAGTAAAATTTGATTGGTATACATACTTGAATAATAGAAAAGTCCTTATCTATAATTTGTCAATTAGAAAGTCATTTACAAGGACAAAGCTGTAATATCATGTTAACTTAGAAATAAATCCTATTTATTTAGTTCCAGATAAGTAGATACAACCCACAGGTAGTTGATTAAGTTAATCAACTTTGGTTAATTCCAGAAAACTGAGAGAAGAGATGGACTACCAGGCTATAGGTTAGGCTGGGAAGCTGACATTGTACCACTCCAAAGTTTCCATGCAGAGGAAATCAAGCTGGTGTGGTAGTTCACTTACCATAGCAATCTGAGCCTGAAGCTCCAGTTCTAAGCCTTGCATGGTGCGCCTTAGTTCAGTAACTTCATTTTTGCTTGAACTCAACTGGTCCACATTGGCAGATATCTCTTGCCTCAATGCGCCAACCTAGACAAGTCAGGGAACAATATTTAGCGGGCTAGGTAGAACATTTTCTATGTTTGACATTCAAGTGGAGACATTCAAGCGTTTGACATTCAAGCGGTTCTTGCCTGCTTGTTGAACTGTTCTTCTGCTTCTCTCCGGTTTTTGTCAGCAAGTTCTTCGTACTGGGCTCTCATGTCATTCAGAAGTTTAGTTAAGTCAACTCCAGGAGCAGCATCCATTTCCACGGTGACATCACCACTGACCGCTCCTCTGAAACTCATCAATTCCTGTGGTAGAGAAGAGTGGTAAATATGTCACAATGTGATAGATTGTCACATTGTGACAATTATATGATAGGAGTTGATAGACAAAAAGGAGATGCTGTATTCTGGATATCTCTAATGCTATGTTTATTCTCATGGGTTCCGCCCCCTTTTATGTATAGTAAAACATTTCCAGATGAATCTTCTTTCAATATGAGTGATATCTAGCACTTAATAGAAGAACAACAGTTTGGAGGGCATACAAGAAGTCGTGTGTTGCACGTAGCTATATCCTACCACAGAAGGAAATAACAGCTGCTGCCTTTTGGCATCTGCTGTCCAAGGCAATTGCCATGTTAGGCTTAGCAAAACCCATTTAAAAGATTGTGGTGATTTATTATTTATTCAAATTGTAAGGTAGCAAATCATCATGGTCTAAGACAAGATACTAAATTCAAAATAAAGTTCAAAATAAATAAATAAAATCAAAAGGGGAGGGCGGGAAACGTAAAAAAAAAAGCATAGTTCATATGGGTTCACAAATTACCAAGGACCGGATCCCAGAAGGGCTGAGATAGCAACAGAGAAGGCAAGGCACTTATCCAAGGGGTGCAGTGTGACACTGTTTTTGAAGGTAACTGGAGTATGATAAATGAATCCTCATTTATTTCAGACGGGGCAGATGATTTGGATGATTTGAGTACATTTTGTTTTGCAATTCAGTTTTTCACTGAATTCGTTTTTTACACTCTCAGTGAACTGACAGCAGTTTTAAGGAGATAGTTTAACCTGGGAAATATTTTGATCCTCTATCAGTTCTGTATAAAATTCAACTCTGCTTTTTTTTAATTTAAAGATTTGTTTCTAGAGAGGTAGGAGTTTTATTTGTGGCATTATCTATCTATCTATCTATCTATCTATCTATCCATCCATCCATCCATCCATCCATCCATCCATCCATCCATCCATCCATCCATCCATCCATTTATTGATAATGCCACATATATAATTAGATGGGAATTATAGAAGCTGTGAATAAAGAAAGGACAGATTTATAGAGGCAAACCAAAGCAACTTTGGATAAATATATGAGTCGGATTATAATGTGGAATGCTTAAGAGAGCGCCAAGGAGGTTCATTTCTACCCTGTGCTACAATTATTCTCCTTTAAAATGTTTTCATTTAGCCACTAGATGGCAGACATAGCTAAAGTAGGGAATTTTCATTGGTTTTTTTTTTTAAAAAAGGGGAGAAAAGGTTAGAATGAAAATCTACCATTCCTTTTGTCCATTGTTAGCACATTGTATACATTTAAAGTTTCAAAGCAACATATTAGTATCTATACACTCTATTTTGGTTGTAGTTCTTCCAACAGCTAGGATTTTCAAAAGCATCAATATCTGGCAAGGAAACCCCTTGAAAACATGTGTAGAAGCAAAGACATTGACAATTAAAACACTGTATGTCTTTGTACACTATTTTCTGAATTGTCAAAAAAAATCTTTTTCAAGAGGCAACTAGACTTTCTGATTTTTCTTTAAAGACATTTCGCTTCTCATCCAAGAAGCTTCTTCAGCTCATCCAAGAAGCTGAAGAAGATTTTTGGATGAGAAGTGATATGTCTTCAAATAAAAAACAGAAAGTCCAGTTGCTTCTTGAAAAAGCACCTTTGGGACAACCATGACCCGGATGACTGAGATATCTTCTGAAATAAACACTTGTCTGTCATTAATTTACTTTGCACTTTACCTACTAAAAATCCTTTCCCCCCCATTTGGTAGCCATTTGCTACCAAGGGTATGGTGTTGCCGGTGGCAGATTGAGCTCCAGGTTTGAGAAAATTCTGGACACAGGGCAGTGCTTCATCCTGAGGCAGAAACCTGAAAAGCTTCCCTTACAGCAGTGTGTGCAGCTGCAGCAAAAGTGCTGAGCGTTTAAGCATTCTCAGGCACATGGATTTAACCATTGTTTCAATGTTTTGGGATAGTGCTATAAAAAAAGAATTATTTGTGTCAAATTGTAACTAAATTCTACTCAGTACCAAAATCTCCCTGCTTTTCCTGAGATCAACAATGGGGATAAGAGCTGGGGACAGAAACTTGTCTGTATGAGCAGGAAGATCTAGAAAGTGACATTTGTAAATTAACAAAATTCTGTGCCTTTTCATCAAAAGAGAAGCATTCCTGTCAAAATCTAACACCAACATTTGCCAATGTCAGGAATATATTCCAATAAAATATATCTCAGAAACTTTAGAAAAACCTGTCTCCCACCTCTTCATGGTTCTTCTTCAGGTAGAGAAGTTCCTCATTCAGGCTCTCAATCTGCAACTCTAGATCTGATTTACTCATGGTTAAATCATCCAAGACTCTGCGTAAGCCATTAATATCACTCTCCACACTTTGGTGTAGGAACAACTCATTTTCATACCTTTAAAGTTGATAGAAGAATGACATTTTAGCAATAGCACTTATACTTATATATTGCTCCATGGTGCTTTACAGCGCTCTCTGAGAGGTTTACAGAGTCAGCATATTGACCCCAACAATCTGGCTCCCCATTTTACCAACCTTGAAGAGGTCAACCTTCAACTGGTCAGGGTCAAACTCCTGGCAGTGGGCAGAGTTAGCCTGCAATTCTGCATTCCAACCACTGCACTGTCCCAGCTCATTATGATTTATAGTCGTCATTTAATGAATGCAGATGGATTTATAATCAAGGATGATTTAAAAAACTGAATAGGTAATAGGTTGAGGGAAAGTTAGACCCAGTTCTTTTCTTTTCCTTTCCGGAGTGCAATTGTTTTACTTACTTAAGTTTGAAATCATCAGCAGCTAGTCGAGCATTATCAACTTGTAATACAATTCCAGCATTCTCAATTGTATGTCGACTTATCTATAATAAAATATTTAAAAGAAATACGTTCATTCCCCAAAATTCTAAACACTTTGCATCTAAGATTGAAAGAATAAAAAATATAGGCATGCACACAGATATATGGACACATGCACACTCACAAGCACACAAACGGAGAGACATAGACACACAAGAATCATATTTACTCTTGCTATCTAACTTATTTAAATTCAACTTGCACACAAAACATACATGAGGATAGCTAACCTATTTAAGTTCAGGAGTTAACTTCAATAACTTAATTGAAAAGTCTAAATCAAAATTGATAAACCAAGAGTTGGACTCCCACCATAGACTGAATAATAAATGACCTCATTCTATCTTCACCTAGCCCTTAATGTGCTCAATTGATGCATGCAGTTTATCTACCACTTCAATTTTCATATGCTCTAGGCAGTTTACAGGCATTAAATATCAACTAGAATTAAAAAATAAATCTTACGTTAGCAACAAAAATGTAACATGTAATATATATATATATTATATATAACATGTAACATGTAATATATATATATATATATAATATATATATATATATATATGAAAATGAATCTATCTATTCTGGAACTTGATTTTCATACAATAATTATCAATAAACCAAGTTTATTTTTAAAATGGCTGGGTAGGACAGAGTGTGAATGAAATGCTGCAAGCATTCAATGATGCGGAAATTTATTGACAACTTACTGAGTCTGGAAAAAGGGTCAACTGAAGTTGGAATACTTTGTGAAAATATTTGAGCTACTTGCCTGGTTCCGAAGATCTTCAATGAGGTTAAAATACTTGCTGTAATCTCGATCAGTGTCAGGAGTGCTGAATTTGGCATACCATTCCTTGATTTTGAGTTCTAGCTCAGCATTTGCCTCTTCAAGAGCATGGACTTTGCCCAAATAGTTAGCAAGGCGGTCATTAAGATTCTGCATGGTTTGCTTCTCATCACCTGAGAGGAGACCTCCATCTCCTCCTCCTCCTCCCATGCCAAAGCCACCACCAAAGCCACTTGCAAAACTGCCACTGGCAAAGCCACCACCCATGCCACCACCATATCCTCCAGCAAGGCTTCCTCCACCATAACTCCCTCCACTATAACCCCCTCCACTATAACCCCCTCCACTATAACCCCCTCCACTATAACCTCCAGCAAACTTGGAACCACCACTGAACCCTACGCCACTTGACAGTCTAACAGATCCCCCACCTCCACCTCCCATACTATAGGAGGAAATCTGCCGAGAAGAACCCGATGTGAGGACAGAGAGAGCCATAGTGTTTGAGCAAGAAGGATGGCCTATGCTGTGCCAGTAAGCAAGCTGATTTAGAAAGAGTGCCTTGGCTTGGTGGGCTTTTAAAGTTTATATATGAAGCTAATGTGGTGCATTGTTTCCGCCCCATCACTGCAAAAATGATTCCTTGCCAAGCCAAAAGCATAACGTCCATGATCAGATAAATTATTTTCTCTAATTAAAAAGTGATGTTATCAACTCCAACTTTTCAGAAATATGTTCCCTTGGGTTATTTGTTGTGCCAGCTTTCTGGATCAGGTGGGATGGAAAAGAGCCAGATCTGTTTTACTTTTCTTTTTATCCTTAAAATTTGATGAGCTACTCTTTTTGTCTTTTGCTCCTCAGCAACACTTTCTTTTAACTTTAGATTGCATTCTGCTCCACAGCTCCAGCCCCCAGGCACAGCTGTTTAAACTGAAAGAGGAAGCCAAGCAAAGCTTCAAGGGGCATGTATGAACAATAGTATTCCATTACATTTGGTAAGGATTTATTTCCCTCTCCTTCTTTTAATCTAACAGAAATGCAAATCTTAAATACCTTGTCATTAGTTTGGCTCAAACCTTCATAGCTGATATTAAAAATCTTTGATGTTATATTGGAATTCATAATTTATGTGCAGCCTGTCTTTGCAAGTTCTTACAGATGGGATGGTAACGGAGATTAATAGACTCAAGAATTTTTCTTTCACAGTAACTCTAAGATGGAACAGAACAAATTATTTTAAATGTGGATCACCAACATTTTATTTCCACTAATTCTTCTGCATATACTATTTCCAGCATTTTCTGTCAGATTATGTTTAATATTGCAGCTTACTCCTTTGCTATACTATGTTATGTGTCTTGGTTTTAAAATGTTCTGGCCACATTTTAGAAAGCACTGTATCACAGATCTCCAATTCTTAAATTTCTCCGTTTCACTTTACATTAGGCTCTTAGTTTGCTCTTGAAATCAAGCTTAACTGGGATATATGCAAAAAAGAAAAATATTTTAAAAAAACCCTTCCTGCCCCTAAGGATGGCATGTGTCTTCTTTAATCCTGATATCATGTATTAAATACAGTTTAAATACATGTACGAAAGACAGTTAAAATCATTATGGGTATTTCTACATTTGATCTTCATTGTAGCATTGCCATGACATTTTACTTTACAACGGCTTCCGATCTTGTTACGTTACATTAGGAATCATCTAGCCCTTTTCATGTTTATTCGTTTACCAAACTTAGAAAAAAAAATGGATGGGAAGGAAAGACAAAATATCTACATATTTGACTGGAAGTAGTCAGAAACCCCTGGAAAGATATAAATGTTTTCCAGCCTGTTTGTCTTGAGATTTGAAAATCCCACACTCTGAAGTACCTCTTGTGACTGGAGACATTAGGAATGATCTGTTAAATATCATTCATATATATATACACATACACACACACACACACACACACACACACACACACACACATTGTCCTATTGCAATTTTGATTCATATCTTGTTCAACTCTTATGCCCATCAGCTCTAGCCATCATGGTAAGTTGTGAGGAATGACGCAAGCTGCAATCTAACAACAGTTGGATGGCCATATGGCTCATCCATGACTTAAACAAAACCGCTCTACTGTGAATATTATCATATTTTCCTTAAGACTGTTTTGACTGCCCTTCAACGCCGAAATTGTGGGAAGATATAGGAGATAAATAAAGCAAGGTAATTGTCCCTTAAAAACTTCATCCAGAAGCATCTTGTGGATTCATGTATTCTCTGAATGTAGCTGTTTCAGGTGCATCACAGATCACAGTTTTTTCTCTGCAGCAGCTTGACAGCAAATGTTGGTTGCAGTGTGATTTCTTTCTGATGATTCCTTGCTTATGATATTTTTTATGATATGATATATATAATGATATATATATATAATTATAAATGTTTATTATTTATTTAAGGGTTTCCTGCTTCATTAGATCATGGAAATGGTAAACATAAATTATGTGAGATTAAATTTATACTGTAATTTGCACCATAAAGTTTAATTGATACACTGAATTTTATTAAGCTGTTTATTTTCCGAAAATGTTTTCCGCAACTGTATGTTCCTAACATTGAATAGATTTCTAAATGATAAAGAGTTTGGTTGAATGCAGTATTGTTAATGTGAATCAGTTCCCAGGGGTATTTGCAAAACTACTGTGGTGGTTAAAAGGTAGAAGGATCTATATTATTCATTGCACAAATTTGCCGATAGTGCTAACTGCAACATTTCCTGGACTGTGAGCCCTTGCTTATAGTCACGCATGTCTTGGTCACCTCCCATTTGGATTATTACATGGTGCTGCCCTTGAATACTGCCCAAAAAGTTCATCTGGTCCAGAATGCATCAGCATGCATGTTTCCCTAGGATTTCCTACGTAATACCTCTGTTGTGTGGGCTGCACTCTGAATTCCAGTTTCTTTCCAGGTGCAATTCAAGATGCTGGCCATCATCTTTAAAGCCCTATATGGCATATAACCAGATCAGGGGTGAAATTCTATCAGTTCAGGAGAACCGGTAGTTAAAAAAAAATGCTAAAAAAAGTTCCGACGATTGCGCAGCACAGCTGATTTTCACACAGCTGTGCGGTGCGATTTATATTTGCTAGAAAGCAGGAAATCCTACTTTCTAGCAAATCAAAATCACGCGGCACAGCTGTTCCCCCCCCTCACTATTCTACTTACCTTTGCCGACTCAGAAAAGGCTTCTTAGTGCCTGTGGTGCGCATGCACTCAAAGCGAACTGATAGCAGACTTCAGAGCATTTCACCTCTGGGCCAGATGTCTCTAAGGATATCTACCCATCCTAACAGATTAGATAGGTATACTCTTAGTCCCTTATTTCAGGCACTGCCATCTGATAGGATCTAGGATATATGCCTTTTCTGTGGTAGCCCACGCCCTATAGAATATTCTACCCCTGAAGTTCCCAAGGTCTCTCTAAAGCCCTGAAGACCCAACTTGATTTGATTTGATTTCATTTGATTTTACTTTATTTGTATGCCGCCCTTTTCCCTGGGGGACTCAGGGCGGCTCACAATTCAATGGAAGGGGAGAACAGACAAGTTACAAACATAAAGACCATACACCGTTAAAAAAAGCATAACAGTCATACCATTCGAGTGGGGTTGAAGTCTTTAGCCCCAGGCCTGTCGGAACAGCCAGGCCTTAAGGGCGATGCGGAAGGTCTGGAGGGTTGTGATGGTACGAATCTCCATGGGGAGTTCGTTCCAGAGGGTCGGAGCAGCCACCGAGAAGGCTCTCCTCCGGGTAGTTGCCAGTCGACATTGGCCGGCTGATGGAACTTCTCCTCCCCCAAGTTGGGATAAGATGGTGACTGCACATTAAAACTAGATTGCCACCAGATTTTGTTCTTATGTATTTGGCTTTAATGTGGTTTTTATATTATTTTAATTTTTGGTTGGAAGCTCCCAGATTTTATTATAAGGTGGGTAGGTATATATATAAATTAACCAATACGTGCAAGTAAGAATAGATATTTCGTTGAAGTATTGGACTGTTGGAAGACAGAAGATTTCTAATAGTAGTCTATATCAATAGCTCAGGATTGCTTGTGGATTCATGTATTCTCTGAATGTAGCTGTTTCAGGTGCATCAGTGCATGAAAGATCACAGTTTTTTCTCTGCAGCAGCTTGACAGCAAACGTTGGTTGCAGTGTGATTTCTTTCTGATGATTCCTTGCTTATGATATTTTTTCTTCTACTCTGATTGTTTATCTGCTGTTTCTACTTCTCTGGATATTTGATTCAAATAAATAATCAAGGAAAAAAACTTCTGAATGCTTGCAATTTGGGTGTCAATCTCATTAGATATACTAGATCACGAAATCAACTCCACAGGAAGACGAAAACTAATTTTATTGGGATTTGACTTTGATAACAGAATTGCATGAGTCTGATTATGCTATACTTCTTCCTGCTTCTTAACGTCAAGTGAATCATGGCAATGTCTGTGTCAGCCATTTCCAAATGTTTTGTTTTTTCTGCAATCAAAAAACGTTTCAGCCCCTTTTTCTTACCTGACAGTAACTGCATATTTCTTGTCATCTTTCTTGCTCTCTACATGGGCCTGCAAAAATACCATGAAATCTTGCTACCTTGGTGCCTTTCATTATTTGCTCCGTTTTGTGCACCAGCAGAAAAATCATAGCATAAATCAAAATCATTGCAGAGAAATTCAGTGTGTTACCTATTGAAGAATGTTAGAAGTGGAAATATGTCATATTAAAACAGGATAGGTGTGAGATTATGCAGGCATGGATCTGATCTGGGAATGATTAAAAATCCTTTTCTTTGCCGGTGGGGGGGACTATACCCATACTATACTAAGTCTTGCAGCAATAACATTTGTTTTCATATTTTACTATTACAAGCTCTACTGTGCTTCAGTGTGGACAAAATTACAAGGGGCATTTTAGAGGAGATATTAATTTGCTGTTCAGATATCCTATTGGACCAAAAACAGGAAACATGCAGTCTTTCAAATATTACTGAATTACAACTCCTAATACTATTGACTGTGTTGCCTATTTTCAGTTCACCCTCACTTCTATCTTAGATATTATTTGGCTGTGGAAAACAGAAGTCCTATTTGTTCAAATTACCATAGACATTTGGATTGGTATAACAATTCATAGAAATGAGTGATAACTTCCTAATAAATATTTCAGTAATACGTAGGGTTACAGTGGCCACATAGTAAGTGAGGCTGGGTTAAATCAGAAACTCCCAGTCCTTTTCCATAGTCTGATTATATTATATTATATTATATTATATTATATTATATTATATTATATTATATTATATTAT